TACTGGACAGCACAGCCATCAAAACAGGAAGCCAAACTAAGACCAAACTCACTGCCCTGAAATCTGTTCTGGCTCACAGTGACCCTATAGGACAGGGTACAACGGCCCTTGTTCATTTTCAAGACTGAAACTCTCAATGGGGGTGAAAAGCCCCATCATTCTCCTGAGACACATGGCTGGGGATTTCGACCCGCTGACCTGACAGTGAACGGCCAAACACATAACCACTCTCCCATGGGACTCCCAAAGATACACAAAGGCAAGCAAAGGTCTTGCGTCTGTGTGAGCAATTGGGGATTTCCTTCTAGACTGCTGCTGCCTCGCCTTAACTACTATTACGTTCCTGGACGTTGTAAGAGAAGCAAGAATTGCTCCCACACCATAGCCAGGAAAAATTTAGAAAATCAACAAAAGATACTTAAAGGGTTATGTTTTGTTAGAATTGTTGTTAATCTACACAGTTCTGCCATAATACTTAAAGTTGGGGCTTTCCTTATGATTTTTCAACATAGTTCGTCATAGTAGGAAGACTGCAGGGTCTGGCGAGCACAAAGAACAAAGACAACCAAATGTGCTGGTTCCTCCACCGATGAAAAGACGAGTTTTGTGACTTTTGTTCTGTTTGCTTTAACTGGTGTAGCTTTCATGTTATTCAGCACTCTAGAAAATTTGCAAATGAGTCATATATGGAAGGTGAGTCTTAGAAACATTCGTGCCATTTTGGGGTTTTCCAACTTCCTCGAACAAACACCTGTCACATTCTAGGGAAGTTATGTGTTATCTGCACATATAGTCTAAGGAGATCTCCGTTCTCCTGAAGGACGAGAAGAAATCTGACTAATCGAGTTTGCCCACAGGTGGCACTAGCTGACCACCTTCGGGTATCTCTCCCACTTTGGTTAAACCTCTGGCTTCGCTCCCAGGGTTTGATGAAAGCAAGGCCCTGGAGTACTCTCTTTACTCGAGAGTCCTCTTTAAAGCACATCCTCAGGTAACAGCCATCCACACACAGCTGCTCCACTGTGTGAATGTCTGCAAATCATATGTTCATTACTGAACTGATATGTTGCACATTCCCAGACTGAATGGACCATCGGGCCTAAAATGTCCTGCAGCGAGAGAACAGTGCACATACACAGCCACTCACATGAACATTGTGGGTCACTTCTGTGTGGTAAAACGACAAGGAGGAAGAAAGAGAAGAAGAAGACACAATGTAAAACAGAAAAAAGGAGGAATTTTCATGTCCATTAAGCATTGATACAAGTCCTAGATAAGAAAAAATATTTTCCTAACTCATCTATTTGTATCTCTATGGTTAAATGACAGTTCAAGACATAGACAAGGACTGTTGCGGCCCTCTCTTACTTGTTCCTCATTATCCATAGGCTGGTTAAGCTTGTTAAGCATGGATCGCAGCAGGTCCAGAATTGGCTATGGGACACATTCGTTCCTGGTCAACAATATCTATTTATTCTATCATTCATTCCTCCACTTATTCATCCTTCATATATTGAAGTACTTAGTACTTGAATAACACACAAGGCCCTGTCCTAGGCACCTTGGGCACAGCAGTGAACAAAAGAGAGAAATCTCATGACTATTGTCCATGTGAATCTTTTCCTCCATAAAAAAATTAAAATGTTTTCAGAGACTCTCAGAATCATTTTGGGCTCTCCTCGCTGCAAGAGTC